TATATATATACAAAATTGCTGTTGTATTAAATTTTCCTTTCGCAGTTGTTACTCTAATTTAATACAATCGGCTTTTAGAAATGTTTATTCAATTAAAATTTATTTGGAAAAAATTTGTTTTTCTAGATTCAAATCGCATTGTATCATCTTGTTAAATTGGACTACATTATGTATCGTGCATTAATGTAAAGGAAAAATAATTAAATTTTTGATTTTAATATTGTATATTCGGCACTAGTTAACCTATTCATTCAGTAGTCCATTAAAGCAATGCTGCATTTAAACTGGTAATTAATTTAGACGTGATACGTGTAATTATAAAATGTCGTGACACTCGTAACAGCATATTGCGTACTATCGGATGTTATTAATTACGATTGGCGTTATCCAATCAATATCAATAGAACGTTAATTAGTTGATTACCCTTGAAACTTGCGCGTGGCTTCTGTCGACGCAATCGCAGCCTGGCGAGGAAAATGCTGACGCTGATAACGTAGATAATCTCACGATGACGCGGAGTTGCGAAAAGTTGACTTAACGCAGAGAGACTTTCGTGTGGGCGATAAAATAACAAGCGCACGTCACGATTATTAAATGTCAGCAAAATATTTTCAACACTTCATTGAGCGGCGTCATGCGTTGAATAATCGTCGAGCTTGCACGAGATCGTAATGGTGTCGACAATTTATTCTTTCAGGCTACTGAATTATGAAATTCACACTTTGAAATTCTATTGTGTGTCGCATGTATTTTATGGTTACATCCACAGTGGATTTCCGCGGTTATTTGATACGGAAAGTATTTTGTGTTAAAACTTTAAGTACGATAGACTGCGCGTGCAAAGGCGTATCTTTGCAAGAAATTTTAATACACAGACAAATGTGTGTATAGCGTACAATGCTTTGCAACATCTTGAAAATGTGCACATGATTCAAGAATATGTGTGCACACACGGGCTAAGTTGCTTGCATAATAGATAAGGAAGAAGACGTGTAGGCAGATGTAATATTATAACGCGCAATACGCGCGATCTCTCGGCTTCCCAGGAGATTTCACTACGCAGTTTTCGCCCAAACTTTCTTCCAGAAATTGCGCTTCTGTTTGGCAAACAGCGTAGGAAGAAATATTCCAACAAAATTAGTACTTCACGCCTACATTGAAAAGTTTTTCCCAACAGCTAGACACACGCCGCTTGTGGGTTTAATTATGAGCCACGAATTCACCGGCTGGAAACTTTTTGCAGAAACTCACGCTCGATTCACTGAACTTTATAGAATAGCTGAAAGACATGTGCCTATGTGGCGTCAAGGACTTTTCTAATAATGTGGATCATTTTCTTTCTCCCCCCTTCTCTCTTCGTCCTTCTCCCTCTTACAGCTAAGAGCTTAAAGTAATAATACCTGAAGTTAGAATAGTATTCGATAATTTACGCGTCGCAAATTCATTCTGAGAATATGTCCCGTAAATTGCGTTGTGAAAATTTCCGTGGGGATTCATTTGTATACGAATATAATACGAATGTCATCTAGAATGAAAGATTGGCAAAGAGGGACAGTAAGAAAAGGAGGACGGTTACATTCGTCGTCGACGTGTATTCGTTCAACTTTTGTTACGAAATGTATGGATCGAGTTAATTTTGTATTTCAATGAATTATCTCGGATTATATCATTTTAATTTTCAACTTCGAAAAGGATACATCATTTGTCGTTTATTGGATATGGCAAGAAATTATTCTCTGTCAATAAAGTATGTCCGATAAAGCTTTCATCACCAAACTGAATACCAACTATCGTATAAAATACAAACGAGTTTGTATTTTATGCAACACGTCGATCGCGCCTGACAAAACAATTAACCAGTATCGCGATAATTCATCCGCGTTGCCGATAGCCACATTTTCCGAGTGCACCGTATTTTGTTCATGCTCACGCCTTCGTATTTAATTACATAATATCAGATATAAATGTGTATTTAAATTTGCTAGTTATTATTATATTTTGCGTAGTTTCTAAAAGTAAATAATCATATAAATCGGTGTAAATACGTTTCACGTTATTTCAATTTTGGTCCCGAATTTGTTCTGCTCACAACAGAGATAAGATTGCGTAATATTACATTTCTATGCGTTGCAATTTGCATAAAACATTGTTTGCATAATGTGTTTGTTTCTACGATGATCACTTCCAGCCGTAAATTAATTGATTCTCAATAAAATAGAAGCGTTCTAGGCTCACATGAATCAATAATATATACGCGGCCTATACGTGTGTGGAAGAGGTTCTATGTGTGATGGGAGACACGCTCTTATCGGCGCGTCAAAATGCACGTTGCAGGGGGAATTAGGGGAGCCGATATACATACTAAACCGAGCCGTACACTTATCTGGGTCATCTTCCTAGTAGAAACTATCCATGCAATATAGATGTATGGTAAATGTTCTTGGAAATCTATTGAGCAATTGGTTATCTAACAATGCAGTTACATATTGACCCTAATGTCTGTAATTACATTGACTTTAATGTGTGTAAAAATTGCTGAAGTTCGTATCTGTTTAAAATGATCAAATTTCTACTATACTTTTATGTGTTAAAAATATGTCCATTCTTATCATTATATTTTATGCAGGTTGTTAATTTGTCACGATTATGTTTTTGCATTTTTTAGACAAATTGTGCGCACATACATTTCTTCGTTAAAGCTTAGTTTAAAGCAATTAAGTTCATCGTCTTGGATTTAGCTGTCCTTTAACATCACGCAAGGATCCAGAAAAAACTTAAAAGTTCCTTTACTTTAAACTTCTAATAAGTAGAGTTCTATTACTCTCTTCTTGAAGATTCAAATTTCTTTGATTACATGTCACACATGGTCGTGATGAGGGCTCGCTTTGCGACACATTTTTATCGTGAAGCGCTTTTAATTCTCAAAAAAGCGATAAAACTTCTTTCAAACGTTAAATTGCAAATGTTAAGCGATACGTTACTTGAAAACAAACATTTCTCAAATAACTCTCATGATTAATTGTTTTGGTATATTTTGTAGTCTTAAAAATTTATATCGCGCTTTTTAGCCATCTTATTTCGTGCATTTTTCTCGTAAAAATATCAATTTAATATCATGTAAATATTAAAACCAATGCTAATAATTTTTACCGATATTTATCGAAAACGATAAAACAATGATTAATGTACTCGGTGAATAATGAGACGAAAAATATATGATGTTGCAGGGCTGAGAAAATGTCACCGTGATGTTACACCGAAGCGCTTCGTCGCGACGCCGGCGAGCGTCGCCAAGCGTGGCAAACTCGAGCCAGCCGGCAGGGATATCTTTGACGATGCGAGGTCGACGAGCGAGCGTCGCAACCGAGAAGCCCCTGATCCTGCCGCCAACTAGCTCCGGCGGAACGATGGAAAGACAGCGATCACCGAGGGGTAGCATGGTGCCGAATATCGCTCTGGATACTGACAGCGGTTCTCCCGACGAAGTTAGTATTCATTTTTTTATATATTATCTTTTATATATATATATATTTATTCTTTTATATATATCTCTTATATAATTTTTTTGTATATATATGTACGAGTGGCTTCTACGCAGAAAATCGACCGTTTGTCATTCAAATTTATTTTAACATATGTGCACCTGAGGCAAGAAAACGACAAATCTAAAAACAGAATTTATTTTGTTAGAAAAAATGTATAAAGGTCTCTGCCTAGGCTGCTATTTTTTAAATCAACGCGTATAACAATTCAAGTAATTTGATTCGGCAAACATTTTTATGACACTATAGTGGTCATCTATATATATATATGGCATAGAGTGTAAAAAATCATTTCAATCAATTGAGATCTCCAGTCAAACTTGCCTGAAATACCTAGCGTAGGATTGTTTTATTTTTTTTTCTGCTTTTTTTCACTGGCTTCGGGCTACGCAATGTTAGGGAATATTCAATTACTCGCGAAATACTCGAGTGTTTGATGTCATATTTGGTCGATGTGAGCACCGCGATATTCATCGATGAAAACAGATACGCGCTTTTTATCACGCATTTTACACATCAGTTTATCCACAAAATTTTGAGGTCATGAAATTTCCGCGTCAGATTGCTATCACATGTTATTCATTAGCGAATGATTGGCGCGGCACAGGCATGCGTTTTGAAAGCTATCGGTTGGTTTTGCGCAGCGATCGCTAAAATGATTAAAATCCATTCACTTCAATCGATCGTTTCAACATGCTTCGCGAACACGTAGCTCTGCTTTCACGTACAGAAATAAATTTATTCCTGAGTTAATTAAACTAGATATATTACAGAAATGTGAGTGTATAACATTCATAAATACGTTTTCAACATTCCCGAGTAAAATAAGAAAAGTCAATTAGTATGAACGATGAAAAACTGAATAATTCAATTAAGAGAGAAAAGCGAAAGCTAATTTGCTTCTTGTAGCATTTCTAATAGACATTTTTCGCTGCAAGAAAAAACGGAATTTTAACAAAAAATGAAGAAAAAATGAACACATTTGACGAGTGGGATATAAAGTTTGAAATAAATTTCCACCATCTTTGCGTATCTCGATCAATAATTAGCAAGATAGGAAGCTGACGCTCCAGTGTTTATGATTCGTGTGCTATTTCAGGGAATCTGTCGCAGAATTCTGCCGGATCCCGAGCAGTACGGCACCGGTCGTAACTCTCTGGCACCCGAGGCGAGCCGCAGTCCGCGAAACTCTCTAATACCTGACGATTACTGCAGAAGCCCGCGGGGTTCCCTAATACCAGACTCCAATAGAAGTCCGCGCAACAGTCTGATACCTGATGTGGTGCGATCACCGCGGAACAGTCTGACGCCGGAGGTTACTCTCAGTCCGCGGCATTCTTTGGTGCCAGACTCGGCGCTTAGTCCCAGAAATTCTCTGGTGCCGGACGTGGCCTACAACCGAAGTCCTCGGAACAGCATGGTGGCGATTGGCGCTTCTAGAACCTCCCTTTTACCGGAAAACGGAAGTGCAATCGCGGCGGCCAGCCGCAGCCCCAGGCACTCGTTGGTGCCGGACTCGACTAGAAGCCCGCGAGGCAGCATGGCAAACTTAGATTTCGACCGAAGTCCGCGCGGCTCGATCTGCCCGGAAATGCACAGGACACCCAGAGGCAGTATCACGCCTTTGGAGATCGCGGATAGAAGTCCTCGCGGTTCGATAGCCTCCGAGTGCCTGAACCAAAGTCCTCGCGGCTCCATCGCGCCCGATCCCAACAGATCGCCCAGAGGGTCGATAGCGCCGGACCCGAATCGGTCCCCTCGCGGATCGATATGTCCGGAGAGCAACAGAAGTCCCAGAGGATCAATTACACCACACGATCAAACGAATCGATCACCGCGCGGGAGCGTAGCCGTGAATGACGTTGACAGACACTCGAGAGGTTCTCTCGGAGCCATCAACGACGACGTAAATAGGAGTCCCAGAGGGAGCGTTGGGCCTGACGGGATCGATAGGAGTCCTAGAAGTAGCCTCGGTGGACATCAGGATAGAAGGGCGCCGAGAGGTACTCTGGCTTTGCAGGATCCTAGAAGAGCTTCCGCGGATCAGGGTGAGAATTTAGCATTTTTTTAGCCTGTTTCCTTAGAATTACACTTTTCTCTAGTCTTCCATCCTAACGTGTAATAAAATATTGTACTAATTTTGTTGTCTCAACATTTATAACGCTCAAAATTATCGTCATAATCTTTTCCGTTACGATACAAGCGTCTCAATTTTTTGTTAGGATTGTTATTGGCAATTTGTCACTGTGCATCGCAATCGATGTTGCGTAACTTTCGTACAAAAAAACCATGTTCGGATTCTTGGATGTCTAAACCGCAATCTGCTCCGTATGCGAATACCAAAATCCAAATATATCTCGTTCGCGAAATTATAGCGTCGCGGTGAAACGCAACGCGATATGCAGACGAAACGTTTGTGCTTGCCGCAAATGCGGTCGTATTGTACTAATAATACGCCTACATACCAAACATGTCAATCGTATCGAAATTAAACAATTGTCTATTCGATACTGTCACTTTTCACGATTTAAAAACGATTTGAGAGACTATGATTGCAATTGTAAAAGTGTAACCGGCGAGTCGCGTTTGACAAAAGTGGTCTTAACTTGTGAGCAAGAGTCCGTATAAATTTTACTGCGCATCGTACACGTTTGCCATTCGTAAATATTAAACACAATTGATGCTTTATAATTCGCCTTCAACTTATAGACGTTATGCAACGTATTAAAACTATGCTGTCTGGCAAGAATTCGTCACAAAATGTTTATTAATCAAATTTCAAGCATTCCTGCATGTGCAAGCTGAAAATTTACCTCGAGAGCATATATCTCCCCCTTTGGGAATGCAATAGCAATTTGATGCTCATCACCTTACAACTCTACGTCAAGTCTCTGGAGAGGCCGATTAGGTTTCGTTCGTTTCTCCCGACATATATGTATGTTCGAAGTATCGAATGCGATAGATAATATATCTTGAGTAGAGGAAATTGGTTGCCAGATGATACACTCTCACGTGTGTCGATTGCCACACTGTCACGTACTTGATACTTTTAACTGGGATCTCGTAGACACGATAGACATTCACGCGTCGAAGCGCGTGACGCACGAACGGAAGAAACGATCCGCCAAGCGATGCAAAATAATATCCGATAATCCGATAATGATACGTTATCAACTTCGACGCAGGCTCCCGCCCTTAAGCGATGTCGAAATCCCGCCCTCTGATTTTCTGTAGTCTCGCGCGATTAAATTTATCGCATCATAATTTAATAAGCTCAGACGAACGTGATTTCGCGAAGTATCTTCGATTTTGCATCGATTTTTAATAATATTTTTCCAAATATCGTATTGGTATAATAATCGGAACTAGTACTATAAAAGATGAAATAATGTTTAATCAGCTTAATTTATTTTGATATTCAAGTTCAGATTAACTTATAAATCGTAAGCTTTTTCATCAAAAATTCAGTTTGTAATGATAATGATTATGTTAATTGGCATAAATAGTGTAATTATATTTTTGGCAATTTTATTAAACTCTAGTCTGTCATAATTAGAGGGCTAAGTCGCTATTGGTGGTTCAAAAGCGCACATGTGGTGTTGATACAGTAGCATTAAATCTCGTAAGCCAGTCTTTGCAAACTGGCTTAGTACTGTAGATATATACGCAAGATATATATGAAATACGCAGTTTGCCATTAATACTCTCGAATGAAACAAACTCTATAAATCGTAAGAAATAGGAAGATTAACGTATATACTGACTGCCATAGTAATCAAAGATTTTTTTAAACAAAGAAATGCCATCTGGTATAAAATTTTGAATTACATAAATTACAAAACAATTTTTATTTTTAACAATACATGTTTTATGCGTGTTACGATGTTATTTTATTGAAACGCAATGAACACAAATTTTACCGTGGCGTACGTAGTAACGTACAAAACTCGTTAAGTGAGTGAATGTGTTAACACTACTGCATGTATGAAGCAGTTTTTAACGTTGTAATTTTTGATGTCACGACAAAATAGGAAAATCAAACACGGAGCAAGTAAGTAGCTCTTATCTCGATGATAATTAACATCACGCGCATTGATATACTGCGAAAGGTTATGCTTCGGTTGCGCAAATTGGCCTGATTTTGTAGCACGTGTACGGCGCTTATTAATGTCAGTAACTACGCAGAACCACCGTTGGTCACGAAATCGGAATACGCGTCTGTTATATATTCCCATTTACCTTTGCGGTGCGAAAAGGATTGCGTGCGTGCGTTCATCGACGGCCTAGGCTGAAGTTTTCTCTTGAATTTTTTAAAGAAAGAAAAAATGCAAATATATGTAATGAATAATTCATTATTTAATAATTGTGCAAATTTGCTGATTTTATAATTATTATAGTTTTGTCGCAGAAAAAAAAAAATTTATTGCAGTACTAAAGTGCCCTTTTATGATTTTGCTGCGTAAATTTGCTCGCTTCCTACATTATTATCCTGAGATCTGAGATCGATAAGACGAAATTGGCTTGTTTACCGTGCTACGCAAGCAGACGAAGTCGATAAATTTCGCGGCAAATCGCGCGAGAAACGTCGCAATAATCGACATCTCTCCAGCAGATGGGATTCGTATTCCGTAAATTGAAAGCGCGGATTTGTCGCGCAAAGCAGTGCGTATTACGCGAAAGCTTGTTGACAAAGATATCTCATCGCTGGAGTTTGCAGTGCATGTAGTCTCTTTACAACAAGCAAATTCGTGCAGGTGCGCGAAGGATACAAATTAAATCGCGCACTAACACTGTTAATTGAAGCATAGTTCGCCATTGTCCGTAACTGTACAGTTGTTCAGCGTTCGTTAACTGCAAATGTATCAAAACAACTAGAAGCTAATAGTCGGAATAATATAGTCACAAAGAATTTAAATGCCAAATTGGACAATTCATATTTGGATGTAGTAATGAAATAAATACAATATAACGCAAATTAAATATTTATAATTTTTACTGTAATATTTAATTTTGACGAATACGATTTTCATTGTATTCAAAGCAAAATGTACAAATTTATATAAAATTTGCATAAAAATTTGACTGACAATCAATTGGATCAATCCATTTAATTACATTTTCGCAAATCATAATACGTACAAAACCAAAAAACACATATTCTGATTTTAAAAAAAACCGTATATCGATAAAAAGCAGAAATGTCGGATACATTGTCAGTAAATTTGATGTACAAGATTTTGCAATTCCTTTGTCAGTAAGTCGTATTGCCGTAGATATTCATGACATCGCGCTGGATTGCACCGAGTATTGAAAGGCAGTCGGAGAAATCCAAATATTTGCATTTGTCCAGGGAGCACGAGAAACCGAAGTTCCTCGCCTTATCGCCAAAGAGAAGTGAGCTCGGGAAGCGTCAGGTCGGGCGGAAGTGGCGGCGCACAGGTCAATCTGGGATATGGAAATGCCTGGGCCGACTCCAGGCGAGCAAGCAGCTCCGTTTCGCAGGTAACCTGCCTCCTCTTTTATCGCGTCTATTGCTCGATCTGCAACGTTCAAAGAAATTCTTCTTTTTTTTTTTTTACAACGTACTCGGCTATCGCCGTACCGAGCACGCTACGCGCCCTAGTTGCGTTACAAGTATTTCGGAGCTCCTCGCCTAAACCGTGGAAACGGGCGACAGGAGCGCTGCTTTTACAGCTCGCCGAGTATATATGTATCTATGTACGTACACGTACGTACGTACAAGAGGTATGTACTCTGAGAATGCAATTTGTCATCTATCATTCGTTGCCGTAATTACGGCGACGCGAAATAGTTGCAGACTGAGAGAGCGCGATAACGCCTTTTTTCCGCGAAAGCACGTTAACAAGGCAACTTCCGCGAGTTGAGGAAAAAATTGGAAAAGAACTTTTCGAAGAGTGGTTTGACCAAAGTGCGTATGTCGTTCTTTTTCACGGCAACTAAAATATTGTTTTAAATGTGAAGCGAAATAACGTTTCATGAGATATCGCGCTGCGAGTTGCGTCGGAATTTTATGTAGCTGACCTTTGTGGAGTTAGCGCAGCAATTAACAGATAATATCCTTTAAGTACTATGGAATTTTACAACATTCTCTGTTAAAGCTTAATACATGCTTTGATATAATTTCACATCATTTTAAAATATTACAGTTATTAAATTGATAAATATCTGTTTAAACATTTAACACATGCTTATGTTGTGTTTTTCTTTTTTGCAAAACAAATAAAAGAGAATTTTTAACAAATTACTATTAAAATTCTGTAAATGGAATAAAGAACTATGGAAAAAGTTGTAAACTATTTTTATAAAGACTCTTGTATATAAAGCTGTCATATATATTAATGTTAAATAACTAAATATTTAATTTACTTCTTTGATTGGAGTGTAGATTTTATCCTAAATAGTTTAAACCAATCGGAGAAGCAGATTTAGTTTTCTGATTAATATTAGATAACTTTTGTTTAGTACGCGTACCAAATATTTAATCTACTTCTTTGATTGGTGTACATTTTACCCTAAACAGTTTAAACCAATCGGAGAAGCAGATTTAGTTCTGGTTAACGTTAGATAGCTTAAACCAATCGGAGAAGCAGATTTAGTTCTGGTTAACATTAAATAGTTTAAATCAATCGGAGATTATAAAAATAAATAAGTTAATACGTAAAAACAAAAAATAAAAATATTAGAAAATAAAAATATTTAATTAAGAAATGAAAAAAATATATTAAAAAAATTAAAATAAAAAGATTTTTTTCAAAATGCAAAAAAAAACTTGGCGCTGCTACATTGAACTAGATTGTTAACTTACATGATGTCAACTTATTATTACATGATGTCAGTACACTGAATTACGTTGCTAACTTCCATGATTAACTTATTTGTCAATTACATGTGTCAATTACATGATGTCAATTTATTACATTATTATTCCTTTTATTCCTTTATAATATTTTGAGGTTGTAGCAGCGCCAAGTTTTTTTTGCATTTTGAAAAAAATCTTTTTATTTTAATTTTAATATATTTTTTCATTTCTTAATTAAATATTTTTATTTTCTAATATTTTTATTTTTTGTTTTACGTATTAACTTATTTATTTTTATAATCTCCGATTGATTTAAACTATTTAATGTTAACCAGAACTAAATCTGCTTCTCCGATTGGTTTAAGCTATCTAACGTTAACCAGAACTAAATCTGCTTCTCCGATTGGTTTAAACTGTTTAGGGTAAAATGTACACCAATCAAAGAAGTAGATTAAATATTTGGTACGCGTACTAAACAAAAGTTATCTAATATTAATCAGAAAACTAAATCTGCTTCTCCGATTGGTTTAAACTATTTAGGATAAAATCTACACTCCAATCAAAGAAGTAAATTAAATATTTAGTTATTTAACATTAATATATATGACAGCTTTATATACAAGAGTCTTTATAAAAATAGTTTACAACTTTTTCCATAGTTCTTTAGTCCTACTTGGCGTCATTTTCTGATATCACATTTTTTTGTAAAAAGTTTCATATTTTGTATTTTTCATATTTGTAGTTAGCTTTTTTTGAAAAGTTTAAATATTTATAACATCTTTTTTTGAAAGATTTTTTTAATGTAGGATAGGTTTTTTTGAAAGGGTTAATATATAAGACAGTTTTTTTGAAAGGTTTTTACTAATATATACGACATTTTTTTGGAAAGGTTTTTAACATATTCGACATTTTTTTTATAGGTTTTTTAATATAGGACAGGTTTTTTTGAAAGGACGTGTACTTGGCGCCATTTTTTTACCTTTTTTTAAAAAGGTAATTTTTCCTAGATATTACTTGTTTTTTTTAAAATAATCAGCTTTTTTTGAAAAGTTTATTTTAATATAGGACAGGTTTTTTTTTAAAAGGACGTGTACTTGGCGCCATTTTTTTACCTTTTTTAAAAAGGTAATTTTTCCTAGATATCACTTGTTTTTTTTAAAATAATCAGCTTTCTTTGAAAAGTTTATCTAATACAATATTAATTAGATTTTGCTGCAAAGAGCCCACCACCACCCCCGTCGTATTTTCAGTATGCAAGATACGACGGTCCTCTTTGATTGATTATGTTATAAAAATAAATACAAAATTATATAAAAGTTATATCGTTTTAAGGCCATTGCGTTTTTCTAATTTAATCATCAATTTCAATTCAACAAGAAATATCAACAATTACTTATCAATCTTCTGTAAGAAAATAATACAGATATCTTTAGCGCCTCTAGGCCATTGTTTATTTCTAATTTGCGCATCGTCAGCTTCAATCCAAGTGTTAGATATTGCTTCTCTACATATACTTGTGTAGTGACCTTTTTCGATACATGATCCATGATGGAATATAGCACTCATTACTTTGTAGAATTGTCCAACAATGTTTATTTTAGTTGTTGGGACAGCACGCAAAGTAAATTTATCTGTTTTTGATTGTATACCGTCTTGAACTGATATTAAATGAATAACCATTATATCTCCGATTAATGTAAATTCACTTTTACATAATATGTCATTTCCTGTGCAATTTTTGCATGATTCGTTCTGTAATTGATAATGAGAAAACGTTGCATTAAATAATTCATTAAGATCTAAACTTTTTTTCTTTCATTTATTTACAGGAATTGAAAGAAGGATATTATTTTTAACAATAGTCGTTGTATTATTACAACTTTTGCATCGTTTAACAGAAGTGACTTGATGCTCGATTAAACTTTTTATATAATCATATTTTGTACAAAGAGCTGTAAGAAATTCACATGCATCCCGTTTAACTTTTTGAAAAAAAATCTCCTAAACATTGCCGTATTACGTATGTATTTAAATTAGGCAATTTTGTTTTCATATTGATGCATTAATGTACCTAAGACATTTTGATTTATCATAATCAAATATTTGTTTTCTAATAGCATTTAAATCAATCTCTGGTCGCTCTTTTGAAACCATTATCCCGTTGTTGCTAGCAGAATATGGTATTGCTTCTGTAAACAAAATTGTAATTTATCACAGAAAAGCAAATTATAATTTGAATAAATAGATAATAAATACTTTGTATTTTTCTAAACTTATTTGAAATTACATTACATACCACAAGTTACAAGTGTCGTTGTCATTAACAGATATTTTCTCTCAATTCTCTCTTTGGATCCTACGGAAATCATACGTTTTCAATAAATAACAGTTAAAAATAAACAATGGTATTATAGCTTTGAATTTATAGAAAATGTATGATCTCCGTAGGATCCAAAGTTTACTGATTAAAGTTTAACGCAATCAAAATATCAAAACGATGTTGCGAAGAAGCGAAACCACAAACACAATTCACTCATGACCTTTCACTTATAACATCAAGATTTATTTTCATATTATTACTTATTCTAGTATATATATTTTCATCATACATATATACATACTTGATTAAATATAATAAAATAATAGCGCGAGGCGAGACATCGTGTGTCTTGTTGACATTGAATTGAATACACCGCCACTATATCTATCACCGTCACCAGCGCACCTAACGCCAAAAATTCCAAACTGTACGCTTCAGCTGTACATCCGTCGACGACGACTGACATGAAAATAGATGAAAATTTAGACTTTTCAACTTTAAAAATTAATATCTTTTTATGTACACCACGCACAGCAAAAACAAGCACACTTTAATAACATAATTCGGGTACGCGCTATCGATTGAGCCTACTTTGAAATCAATCGGCCCAGTCATTATTGAGATCCGATAATCTCGGCTCGTCTCAACTTTCGGTCTCGCGTAAAGATACACGGTCGGTCTCGCGTCATGTCGCTTTGCGTTTTATGCGCTACGCGTGAACTTGGTGCGAGACACTACCGTGTCTCTTGATAAACTAATTATGAGATAGACCCTTTTCACGTTACAAGGAACAAGATCGCAGACTCGTATAAGCATATAAATTTAAAGCAGAAGGTAGATTCAATGCACTGCGGCTCTCATTCTCGTGGGAATGTCGTCCTGGAAAATGTTGCTCTTTGCCAAATGAATTTCCGTCGCCAAAACTCGATCGAATACAGAACGTACCTACGAGGCGTCATTTCCTGTTCTTCTTTTATTTTTATTTCTTTTTTAGCGTCGCTTAATCTCCCGCGTTTATCTTTATAAATTCTTCAAAGTAATTTCCTTCGTTATTGCTTCAAGGAATGTTGAATTCATAGCATTTTTTCATGTCGCAACAAAAGATTTATTCTCCCGTGTAAAAAAAGTTTTTACCTTCAATGGCAAAATTTGCTTAGATTTAGTTACAAAGATAGTTATAAAAAAGATGAATTGAGAATCTGTCCGTGTAATGAGCGTAATAAAAAAAGAATACAATCTATGCGCTATGAAACTAGTCTATTTTACTTTACCGAAAAATTATTAACTCTTTGACGTCAGATCATCTGCTCGCTAACCGCATAGCAGATACCAGATCCATTTGAACGCATAACAGAATTTCGC